TGAGGCTGGGAAAGAATGTCTCGGACTCCCGGACCATCAGCACCGGCTCCCCTCAGGGCTGTGTTCTTTCTCCTCTGCTCTTCTCCCTGTACTACCAACTGCTGCACCTCCACCCACCAGTCTGTCAAGCTAATCAAGTTTGCAGATGACACCACCGTTATTGGACTCATCTCGGACGGGGATGAGTCTGCCTACAGGAGGGAGGTTGAACGTCTGGTGTCCTGGTGCAGCCACAACAACCTGGTGCTGAATGCCCAGAAGACAGTGGAGATTATTGTGGACTTCAGGAAGCACACAGCCCCACTCCCCCCCATCATCCTGACTGACACCCCCATCACCTCTGTGGACTCATTCCGCTTCCTGGGTACCACCATCACCCAGGACCTGAAGTGGGAGCCCACCATCACCTCCGTCATAAGAAAGCCCAGCAGAGGATGTACTTCCTGAGGCAGCTGAAGAAATTCAACCTGCCAACACGGACGATGATGCAATTCTACACTGCAATCATCGAGTCCATCCTCACCTCCTCCATCACCGTGTGGTACGCTGGAGCCACTATCAGGGACAAACAGAGACTGCAGCGTGTTGTGCGCTCTGCTGAGAAGGTGATTGGCTGCAGACTCCCATCTCTGCAGGACCTGTACACCTCCAGGACACTGCGGCGTGCAGCTCGGATCTCAGCTGACCCTTCTCACCCTGGACACAGTCTGTTTGACCTGCTCCCCTCAGGCAGGAGGCTCCGGTCCATTCGCACCAGAACCTCTCGCCATAAGAACAGTTTCTTCCCCTCTGCTGTTGGACACATGAACAATAACCGTATGACTGTTCCCACCACTAACACATGACCCTACGCTGTGTCACTGCATCATTCCATGTTTGGCACTGATCACCACCTGCACTCATGTATATATCTATCTACTTAGCACTTTTAATTCTTATTCTTATTTTTATTTTCATGTCTATTTAAGCGTAATTTATGACAGTATGTTTGCACTGAAGCACCGCAGCAATTTCCTAATGTTGTAAACCTGCTCAACATTTGGCAATAAAACCCTTTCTGATTCTGATACACCATAATAAAATGGGAATGGTTGGTGATATTAAAGTCCTGTTTGTGGCACATTAGTATATGTGAGGGGGCAAACTCCTCAAGATGGGTGGTGACCATGGTGGCCATTTAGAAGTCGGCCATCTTGGATACAACTTTTGTTTTTTCAATAGGAAGAGGGCCATGTGACACATCAAACTTATTGGTAATGTCACAAGAAAAACAATGGTGTGCTTGGTTTCAACGTAACTTTATTCTTTCATGAGTTATTTACAAGTTTCTCTTTGTTCACAGCCATTGACATGTCGAAGAGGTTAACACGTGAGGAGCGGATCGAAATTGTGTTGATATCTGGTGAACGCAGTAACCGGGTCATTGCAGCAGATTTCAATGCAAGACACCCTACGAGACCACCCATCTCCCATGCTACAGTTAGCAAACTGCTTGCTAAGTTTCGTGAAACTGGTTCAGTGTTGGATTTGCCAAAATGTGGACGCAAGAAAACTGTCACTAATGAAGAAACATCAGTGGCTGTCCTAGCTTCATTCAGCAAGAGCCCACAGCGTAGCACTGCCGCATGTCACTGGAGAGTGGCATTAGTCGAACATCCCTTCGGCGGATATTAGCTACTCACAAATGGCACCCTTACAAATCAGAGGTACTGCATTCCCGCGGCTGTCCCGCGGGAGCCGCGGGACCCGACCAGATTTCTTGCGGCGCGGGAATAAATTTCCAAATAAAATGCGGTAGCGGTCGGTAACTCTGGTGTAATTTGAACGGGAGCGCGCGGTCTGAAAATATAGCGTGCCCGACATTTTTTCGGAACAGCATATCTGTGATTTCCTCATTCTAATTGAGCACTGGTACAGCCAGTGCTCACGCCTGTTACACGCACTGAGCGCATGGATCAGTGCTTTTTGCACGTGCATTTTACTTGCACAGTCTGTGACTCTGTGCGCGCATCACCTGCATCAGAGCGCGCTTTACCAACATGGCAGAGCAAACTGAAGATGCAATTTCCTTGAAGGACGTTCAGCTGGGATTAGACAACGGTCAGTTTACTTTAAGGAAACCCACATCAGGCAAGTCTGATGTATGGGAGTCTTTTTCATGCGTCATAGACGCAAATGGAAAAAAATTACCCTTTGTACAATGCGATAAATGCCTCAAAGTTTTACCCTTTTGCAGTCACAAGACTGGAACCTCAGGTTTAAGGCGGCACTCATGTCCCATCACAAAGGGGCAAACAAAACTGGCATTTACTAAATCTTTGCTGGTGCCAGAGAAGTTTAAAAAAGAAACCAGAGACAAATGTGTTCAGTTTGTTTGCCAAGACATTCGACCGTATGATACCATCTCTGGAAAAGGCTTCACACAGCTGGCCCAACATTTGGTCGACACAGCAGCAAGAATAGGAAAATTCGATGTCTGTGAGATACGTTTGTATTTTACATAAAAATAACAAGTAGGCCACAATGCTGTATTCGTTTTTATTTATTTTATTTTTGCAACACGTTTTCCATGTTAAAAGATAAATGTTGCATGTTGACAGATAAATGCATCTTGTTTAAGAAAAATAAATACAATCATTGCACAACCTGCAGTTTTATCTGTTATCTCTATTTTTTGGTGGTACCCCATTTAAATGTGAGATTTTGGAAACCAGATCTAAATTTAGCGGGAACGGTCGGGTCGGGTAGAAAATTATTCTAAGCGGGCAGCGGGTGAACAAAGACTGAATATACAGCGGGAGCGGTCGGGTGCGGTACAAAACCTTGCGGGAGCGGGACTAAAAAAACATTCCCGCGCAGACCTCTACTTACAAACTCCAGCTACTGCAGCATCTCAACGAGGATGACCCAGATCGGCGCACAGAATTTGCAGAATGGGCAAAACAAAAATTGGAACAGGACCCTCAGTTCAGCAGAAGATTTTGTTCAGTGATGAGGCAAACTTTTATGTGAATGGTGAAGTTAACAAACAAAACCACCGCTATTGGTCTGACACTAACCCACATTGGATGGATCCCTCCAAGACTGTTGGAACAACAAAAGTGATGGTTTGGTGTGGTATATGGGGTACAACGATAGTGGGTCCATTCTTCATCAATGGAAACCTCAAGGCCACTGGATATTTGAAATTGCTACATGATGATGTGTTTCCCTCTTTATGCACTGAAGCTGGCACGTTCCCTGAGTTTTTCCAGCAAGATGGTGCACCACCACATTATGGGTGCCAGGTCCGAGCATTCCTAGATGAACAGTTTCCTGGAAAGTGGATTGGTCGTCGTGGGCCAGTTGAATGGCCCCCAAGGTCTCCCGATCTGACCCCCTTAGACTTTTATCTTTGGGGTCATCTGAAGGCAATTGTCTATGGTGTGAAGATACGAGATGTGCAGCACCTGAAACTACGGATACTGGATGCCTGTGCTGGCATTTCTCCTGCGGTGTTGCTATCAGTGTGTGAAGAGTGGGAGAAGAGGGTTGCATTGACAATCCAACACAATGGGCAGCACATTGAACACATTTTATAAGTGGTCAGAAACTTGTAAATAACTCATGAAAGAATAAAGTTACGTTGAAACCAAGCACACCATTGTTTTTCTTGTGACATTACCAATAAGTTTGATGTGTCACATGGCCCTCTTCCTATTGAAAAAACAAAAGTTGTATCCAAGATGGCCGACTTCTAAATGGCCACCATGGTCACCACCCATCTTGAGGAGTTTGCCCCCTCACATATACTAATGTGCCACAAACAGGACTTTAATATCACCAACCATTCCCATTTTATTACGGTGTATCCATATAAATGGCCCACCCTGTAAATCTAAGGAACCAGACTCTCTCGTGATATTCACAGTGATACTTTCACGTTTTTCTTTAGATAGAATATTTGACAGTCATGTCTTTAAGAAATGGGGAGAAAAAATTCTGCAACAATATCCAAAGAAAGGCCGTGTAATGTTCTTCAAGAAGCCTGAAGAACTATTCCCGATGACCACTTAAAGAAAGCTTGGTTAAGAGAGTTCAGGCTATATTGGCCCCATCCTCTCACCCTGTGACAGCTGGGATAGGCTCGTTGCTCCACAGTTTTTTGGTCCTCACGACAGGTTTGGAGAGCTTCAGCCTCTGTCTGTACGCGGGGATTAGGTGGATCATGACGTGGTCAGAAAGTCCGAGTGAATATATATCCATATATATGGCCCACCCTGTACTATAATATATATATATATATATATATATATGAGAGAGAGAGAGATGAGGGATGGTTTAAGGTTGTTGCACAGTAGTGCAATTTCCAATTATTTTGTGGAGTTGCAGGTTATCATACCCTTGTAGATTACCTCATCTACTGTATAGCATTTCACTACAAAGCACACTACGATTTCTCCTACTGTGCACTCAGTCTAACCAAGTTCTGGCTACACTGCAGCAGTACTATCATGTTTTTCATACTCACCTGACAAGCCTTAACTGTTTTAACATTATAAGTGAAACATACAATTTCGCTGCAAAGAAAAATGTGTGATTCTATCTATCAGAATCAGGCAGCCATACTTTCTAGGTCTCAAAGAAATGCATGAATCTGAGGTTTCCCTTATAATACTCAACATGTAATATAGTTAATGCTTGTGACAGTTGAACTTGTTAGCTTTGCTATTTTCATATCATTCTGGGGCATTAAACTTAGCTACTCTTAGCTTGCCAAATTTTACTAGCACCAGTCATTTCAGGCAAAAAACAACAGCAGTTGCTAGCTAAAATTGAGAAGCTAAAGGTAAATCATGTGCTAGTTGTTCAAGCTATCAGCCACCATTATTATTGTTAAACAGATGCATTGCTTGAATGGAAAGGCACCAAGAGCTATGAAGAGATGGGGGTGGAGAACTCAGTTCAAATAACTATTAACTTTAATGTCTGAGGGTGGAATAACCATTACTTTTCTATAGGCAGTCAACGGAGTCTCCAACAAGAGCCCTTACCCCGCCCAACAACTGTCAATCAACATTACAACCAATCAGGCTGGTAAGTTGGGAGAGCAATGACTCTTTGCGTGTGTGTGTGTGTGTGTGTGTGTGTGTGTGTGTGTGTGTGTGTGCATCTGTGTGTGTGCTAGCATACCCCGGGGCACCGTGGATTATGTGAGGGAGGGATGGCCGGGGAGATAAAGGAAATTGAGCTACAGCCTTTTAATTCATAAAACATGTTATGTGCTTGTCATCGCTCTGCCTGTTCTCGCTCTCGTTCCCCTTTCTCTCTCTTTCTTTCCTGCTCATCCACAGCTTTCATCGCTTTTCCTCCCCCTCCCTCAATTCTGCTTTTCTCAGCTTTCTCCCCCCTTTCCCTGCTTTCCTCACCCTAGGTCTCCCTCAGTATAATTCTTAGAGGCCATAAAGTGAGTGAGTTATTACTCCATCAATACTTTATGGAGACAGACACAAGTGATATTTCCACTGCTACCCAAATTTAGATTTAAAAGCCGCTTTGCTATGGAAAAACACATCATTTACCTCATCTACAGCACCCCTGGCTCATTCCTAATCGAAACATGATCCATTGTCACCCTGCCGTTTTCTGAGCGCATTTGTTACCGCTGTCGGATGCGAGGCTCTCTTATCCCTGAAATCTTTTAGGACTCAACAAAAACTGATTTATTTTTCAGGTTGACTGCACTGGGGGAGATTTTTAAATTATGCAATAGCTTTTGAGTGTATTTCATTGGACTTTAGGATGTAAAACTCAACACTGTGTATGTGTGTGTGTGTGTGTGGGGGGGGGTGCTCAATTGTGGCTATGTGAGGAAAAAAAAGACTGTGGGGTTTTCAGGTGACAGATCGCTCATGCTGTCAAATTATTTCTCCAGCAGAAGTATACACCTCTTGAGGCATCATAGCATTTACTGTGCGTTATAGCTGCTGTATGAAATTATGGTGACTCAGCTGTGTAAGATGCATACAGTCTATTTAGGATATAATGGCTTTCAGCAGAATCCCCATAAAACCAAGAAGACAAATTCTCTTGGGGTTTTTTGTCCTTTAAAACACTAATTTAATTAAATTTAAAACAGTGTAGTACATCTCCAGATGCTGTGTGATATTAGTCTTCTTCTCGCCTCATATTTCCACTTGAGACTATCAAAGCACAAAAGTGATGAAAGCCATCACATAAAACGATCCAGAAGCTGAACCATGAAATACATTACAGCCAACAGCTTCTCGTTCCCAAAATTATGGGTTAAAAATGCATCGCAGACATAGCTCTTGTTTCCCCATCAGTGACAAGTGCAGTAATTTGTTTTCATGAGCTTGGAAGAGGAAACATTTTTCTCCTTTGAGTGCAAATAATCTTTGGCAATATGTCATTAAACTCTGTATTTCCATATTTATGGTGTTTAAACATGCTAGCAAGTCTTTTAACTGCCTAATTGATTGTGTATTCTTGTGTGCGTATGTATGTGTGTGCGCTTTTTATCAGCTCCCTCAGTAGTTCCCATAATGCACCAAGTGAGCTCAACAAGTCGCAGTTTCTCGTTGTCATGGCCACCGCCCGAACAGCCCAATGGAATTATCCTCGACTACGAGATACGATACTATGACAAGGTAGGTGGGATGATAAATGTCTGTGTTTGTCTCTGTGTCTGTGCTTTTTGGTGCTATAGTCGCTGGCAGTAACTCATTAGTCAATAAAGCAGGCAAATCAATATCAACTTCATCAGAGTCATCCATTATCAGGACTGTTACTAAAGACCAGCAGGATTCTCACTTCTGCACAAACACCTCAGCCATTAAGAACTTGAATAAAAGTAACACCAACCATTTTGGTAAAACTACACGTATAGTTCTGTGCAAAAAGTTATCAGCCACCACTGCGTACTTTATATTTTGCTTCCAAGAAACCCAAAAGTTCTTGTAATTTTTAAAAATGGTCCTCAGATGCTTTCTTTTTTCTCTGAACACTGTTTTTTCACTCATTTTTAGTCCAGTCCTAATACCTGACCATTTTTAGAGAAATGAATAGCACCTAATTAAAGGCATTAACCAGTGTTGTGTCTACACATAACAGACAACTTATCAAAAAAACATTTTTAATTTTATCTTTAGGCACTGTGTTACCAGCAACCTGTCACAAAACAGACACTTTGATAGGCATACAATAATATTTTTGTACTAACAAGGTGATTGTCAAAGAGATATTAGCTAAAAACTTGGCATGTGACAACACGGTGTGTAGTGTGTCGTTGAAACATTTGAGGAAACTGGACAAACAGAGGACAGAAGGAGTGTCAGATCTTAAAAACTGTCTGCAGTGAAAAATGTCTGAATGCCATGTCCTTAAGAAACAGGAAAAAGTCCAACAAAGATCTGATCAGAGAAATGCATCTTCCTCTTCAGCTGATCCATTAGCAGTTCACTGAAGCCTCATCAGAAATGGTCTCGGTGGAAGAGTGGCTTTCAATTAGCAAAAAAAATGATGAAGCCAGGAGTCCGCTGTTCTAGTTGCTCTAGTGACCCTTGAACCCCCTCTAGCCATCGATCTGGTGGGTAACAGACGTCTCCGAAAAGGTCGGAGCACTTTTGCAAATATGCGATATGTGATGTCTTGATAAACCAAGCAGATATTTGAAGTTTACACAGCTACATTAAAATATGTTAAAAGTTTATTTTGTGACCCAGAAAGAGTAATAAGAGTAATATTAAAACTAAGTAGCTGCCGCCATTGTTGGAAACTGGAATTGGCTGGGCCGCGCTATGAATTCTGGGATATGGTGGGCCACGAAGGATACACCCGACCCATCCTTCAAATCTTAGGAAAAGGAGGACGCATTTGTCGGCCGCATTCGGAGGAGTCTACGAATTGGGACAGCCTTCATTGTGTCACTGTGACGTAATTGGTCTAAAAATGCAGCCTCAGGAGGATGCAGCCGACGTTTTGGGACACAGCTAAGATGGAGGCTGTCTCATGGTTTGGGGCTGTATTTCACAAAGTGTTGTTGGGGATTTTCAAGATTGATGGAATTATGAACACTGAAAAGTCCTGTCAGATTTTTGATCCATCATGCAGTACCATCTGGAAACCATCTGATTGGCAAGAGCTGAATTTTTCAGCATGAAAATGATCGCAAACACACTACTAGTGCAGTAGAAACCCAGATAGAAAACAAAAAGGCACATAATGGATTGGCCTCCCTAACATCATTAAAGCAATGTGGGATCATCCCAGAAGAGAGTAGAACAAAAGGCAGTCCTTCAAGAAGCTTAGGGAACTATTCCTGAAGGCTGCTTAAAGAAATGATAAGAAAGCTTGCCCAAAACAGTCTTGAAGACTAATGGCGATCATATGAAATGACTTGACTTTCAAGCTGGTTACATTTATATAAACTCTGATTTTGTCTTAAATACTGTATTTCTATGGATGTTTCTGCATGTTTCAATAAATCCCTGCACCGATTTCAAAATTTTCCTAGCAAAATATAGACTCACGCACAGCACTGCACTTTCTGCTTTTTTATTAGGGGCTCTTAATGGTTTCACATATGTTACAGTGTCCGCTGTCACTAATAGTGTTCTATTGTTTGCTGGGTGTGAGATCATTTCCTAGATTTATCTTCCTCAGCTCACTGTGGTGATGTAGAGTTCAAGTTCCCATCTTCATCAACAATAAAGCATTAATTATAAACACACATCAGGAGCTCACAGAAGTGTTGTTGCTAGGTAGATATTGTATGTGCTACCTTATGTTTCCAGATTTAGTCCCTTGGAAAACACAAAAAACAGCAAACAAAAAACAAACAAAAAACATGTTACTGAAAGAAATTAGATGTGTTTAATATTAATAAGGAGGAGAGGCTGATAGCAATTTTAAAATATTCACCAAAAAAAGAATAGTTAGGTACTACATCTATCCAGGAGTTTAAGAAAATAAGGGGGTAGGATAACTCCAGGCAGCGGAGGGAAGAGAACCAGTTTTTAAAATTTAATAATTGAAATTTTTTCATCTATCAAAGAGAAGCTTCAAAAGTGTATTGGGTATGGCGATAATTTATACAGGCATGATGTTATGTTTTTAATACTAGACAGAAGATTACGGGCTGTCTGGTAGTTTCATAGACTCCTTGAGAACATCCATCCAACAGCAGCAGACACCATGACAAATGTTTCTGAACGTGTCTGTTCTCCATCATATCGTTCAAGAAATAATAATCACTCAGTACTGCTGTTTTTGTAATACCGTTGTTATTAAATATTTCTTGTCATTTAGTATGAAAACTGCAGCTTGATAAAAATCAACATCACTGGGTTTGGTGGCTGATCAACATGGCAATTATTTCAGGACAGCTGAAGGCAGAAACCTGTCAGCATATTTCTACAATTTATAGCTCTTATAAATGATGTATTTTTGTCTCGCACTCGTGCTGAATGCCTATTCATGTATCATCTTTTATGCAATATTATTTCCTAATAAGTCAGGATTGATCTTAGAGCTACAATGCATATTTAATGGGGCCTGCAGCCATACTGACAGGGTTTTACAGTGATGTAGAGCCTTTCTTTTTTCAACCACACATAAATTGTTGATCGTATTTGTGCAGGAAGGATGAGTGTCCATTCATTAAACTGTTAGCAGTCGGACGTACCGCCCACGGGACATTGGATGGTTTAGGGGACTAATAGGACTGCTAAGGGGTTAACAACTGGCTTTAAAAAGCTGTTTTCAGACAATGAGGACCGCCTCCCTCCAACTCAGCGTTTCACTGAATCGAACACGAACAAAGGGAGTAGTTTGGGCTGCTGCAGCTTTGTTATCGGCAACATGCAATATAAGATCAAATTAGGATTTGTGAAGATGAAAATTAAATCAACCATTAGGCTAATCAGAAGCAGTAAGAGCTCATGCTGATCTTGGGAGTCTCAAGCAGCTAATTCTTTAGTCTTTACTGAAAACTTTAGAAGACAAATGGACAGTAATTTAGACAAATTTCCCCAAAACCTTTCCAGCTAATCCGATCCTAGCTGAAATATTAAATATTTAGGTAGCCACACAAGACGGCGATATCTTTTGTTGCTGTTTTACAGGAAAATATTCATTGGCAGTCATGTATACAGCTCCGATGCATTTATTCAATTTACTGCTTATGTTGTTTTGTCTGTTCCAAAGTCTGCGAGGCGGGATATCATAGTGTTTGTAGACTGCAGCCGCTAATATTTCCCTATTGTTTGCTGAGTAAGATGGTGTCCTAGATTCATCTCCTCAGCATTCTCTGTTGCTGTGGGCTTCAGGTCTCTCCGTGGACCTCAGTACATGCCCGAAGTCAGCACAGAGCACTGATATTACATAGTTACCTTTATCTTAAAAGGGCAAAGCCTTTCACCCCAGAGAGATGGAGTCTGCCACAGAAAAGAGAACAAGAAGCATCCGTTCTTCCAGGCCAGAGTGTTGAGGATTTCTGTTCCAGGCAGGCAAGGTTGAAGGAAAATGATCGATATTCAAAATGATCCTTTGTAGCTTTCTTTTACTCCTATTGTTCCTGTTTCGCAAAGGCCAGAAATGTGCTCCGAGAGAAGAACCACTTGTGTCCGTTAGCTGAACTCTTTGGAAGTTTTCTTTATTCTTCCCTACCCTGACCCTCTGAGTTATACTGAGAATAAAAGGAAACTCTCAGTCTCAGTACTTGATCTCCTGCACAAGAGGGATGCCCACATTCTCCATCTATCATTTCTTTAGGCCAGGTCAAGTTATTCCAGACATTCTTCTCCTTAGCAGCGTCTCCTAGCACATCCTGAGGGATCCAGAGGCATTCCAGTACCACATCAGATATACATAAAATCCTTTCACAAAGTCCGAATCTACCCTAGGGTCTCCTACATGATGCATATGCCCTGAAAATCTCCAAAGGGAGGCACCCTGAAGTCAGCCTTATGAAATGCCTGAACCACTTGAGCTTTTTAGAAATAAAGGAGCACCAGCTCTATTCTGTTCTCCCTCAGGATTGATTGAACTATTTCTAAAGTTTAAGCTCAGCCACCCTATAGAAGAAATTATTTTTAGTTGGTTATAACTGTATTTTTTTCTGGAATAAAGTTTATTATTGTGAGTAATTTTTCAGATAAAAGCAACCAGAAACCTGCTTCTCCTTTTAGGAATATGAAGGTTGTTGTGGTGGAGGGGTTATTAATCCAAAGGAGGTGAACAAAACAAGGTCATTGCTGCCACCTGAAACAAAACCTTGGAGGGGAACCTCCACAACCAAAGTAGTGCTTTAGCATAGGGCTTGGCTGTAGAGTCCAGAAGAGCAGGAGACTCACCAGTGCCTATCTCACCACTGTAGAGAGATGCCCTGGAGTTGGATTCATTTTTAGGATTTGGACCTTGGCATGCTAATCATGTGAACTTCCATGTTCTCTATATATACTGCTTCACAAAAAGAAAAACCTTTTGAAAACCCCCAAAACAGGAATGGTTTTAAAGGTGGAGGCCACTGACATTTTTTCTCTCCCTGTCTTTTCTGACAATTTTTTGCACTAGTTCAGTTAGGGTCAGTCACCGGTGGCATGAGGTGACACCTGGACCCCACAGAGGTTCCAAAGGTAGTTTAATTCCT